TTTTTTTTTTTCAGTTCTATAGCTGTAATACGTGTAAGTTGGTTTGATTTTGTGAACATATCTGGGAACCTCTATTGCGGTGAGTTTCATTTGGCGCCTTTTAATTTTGAGCGGGTATGAAGATTTGATTTATTTTATTGTTTTTCCTCCATGTGCTGTGAAATGTAGTGTCTTGTCACTGTGTGGCTCTGGACGCTGAGGGTCGCTGTTACACGTGGGGGCGCAATGAGGCATGTTGGACTCTGGTAGCCAAAATTTCAGTGTTGTTTGCTGATTTATGGTCTCATTCCTTGTTTCATAACATGTGCAGAAGGGGCAGCTTGGTCATGGAGACAGAGTTCAGCGTGATAGGCCTACAGTTGTTTCGGATTTGTCTCAGTTTGTAACCTTTTGCCTTATCATTTGGTGGAAATAATACTGTATTCTATATTATAACTTTTGGTGAAATGGCTGGAGGAGAATGTTTGTCATATCTGATTATGATTTTGAATTTATGAATCTCAAACGTTGATTTATGGGGATTATGACATGTACTTCTATTGAGTGATGGAAACTGCCAATCTTTTGAAAGTATGGTTACTGGAGAATTGAATACCTATGAATGCAGTTTCTCCTTGATCAGTTGACTAGTTGAGCATTGCTATCTCATCCTTGTTAACTAGCATTCGCGTAATTTCAGGTATAAAGTTATCAAAGCTGGAGCTGGCAGGGGTCATACTGTGGTAGTGACTGAAGATGGGCTCTCCTTTTCTTTCGGTTGGAACAAGCACGGGCAGCTCGGTTCAGGTTCCGCAAAAACTGGTAAGTCTCTCTCAATATCTAGTTCAACTTTGAGATTTTACACATTTCTATTATCCTTTGCGTGTGCATGTATTCTCTTAATTTCAAAGACATTCATGTGTGCATTTAAATTATTCTTGACATATTCTTTCATGCTATATGATTTTGTCCTTGGGAGAAATAAATTTGTTGTCTTTGAGGCCCTATCTGAAATGTACTTCAGCTATGTGTGTCATAACTACTCTTTCAAGTTATGTTCATTGTGAGACTTTTAATGTGGATTGTGGAATGTAACTCACTGGATCAGTATCTTTTATGCTGTCCAGAGAAATTGTTAGGCAAGACTTCAGTTCTCATACACATTTTTGTTATTGTGGATTGTGGTCAAGGATAGCTTCTTTGCTGGGTTAACATTGTCTTCTTGCATAATTAATTCTGTTTATTATCTTTCACATCATTTTATCTAACTGCTTGCTAATGTACTGCTTTTGATCATATTCTACTAAAATGGCTAGTTTTTTAGTGTGTTCGGATTCACCCTTTAATGTGAACAAACAATCCAGCCTGCTTACAGTTACAGAATGTGCAAATTGATTGGGCATTAAGTGGATCGTATTATTTATAAAATGATTATGGAGCAGACTTTAGTCACATTTGACTTTGAATGCTACTGTGCCGCCAATGGTAGGATAGATCTGTAAGGAGAAAGTTTAGAGGTGTTTCTCAAATCTTAACTATTCTGACATTGCTGTATAGCATCTCGAAGACATTGCATGCTTATTCTTTGTGATCACTTGAAGTGCAATTATGAATATTAGTGTTATTTTGCATGTTGTCTGTGTCACTTGTCTTTTGTATGTTCTGAATCATGGAAAAATCCTTGGTTTATGTCCCTGTCATTTACCATTTCTTATGCAGAAGTTGAGTCATCTCCGGTTCGTTGTCAGGTTTCTGATGTAAAAGCAACTGTTTGTGGGGGTGATTTTACCGTGTGGTTGACTTCTGTCGAAGGATCTTCTATATTGTATGGTTTTGTACATTTGGTGTATACTTTTCAGTATTTCTAGTTCATTAATCCATTTTTTGAATAGATGCTGATGCTCTTAAAAATACATTTCTTATTTCCAAGGACTGCTGGTCTTCCACAGTACGGTCAGCTTGGGCATGGGTCCGATAATGAGGTAAGATCTACGTCAATCAACTCATATGCTTGATTTGCTTATTCCTTTTTTTGCCATTCATTTCTTTGTTATTAGAATTGTTTTCTTCTTTAAGTTTGTGGAGACCCATAGCTAGTGTATTTTAGAAAGTATCCTCCCCTCTGTAACATCTACAAACGCTTAGACATTTAAAGATTCATGTAATTCAAAACTATCTTTATTCAACATTGCTGCTTTCTACTTGACTATATCTTTTGATGTGCTATCTTCTTTGAGTATTGAGTAATAACCAGACACGACCTTTGTTCTTGGCAGTATAATACGAAAGACAGCTCCGTGAAGCTTGCATATGAAGCTCAACCTCGCCCAAGGGCCATAGCTTCTCTTGCTGGTGAAACTATTGTAAAAGTTGCTTGCGGAACTAATCATACGGGTATCCTTACATTTTATTTTCCTTCACCTTCCCATTTTCCTGTGTCCTGCTTCTTTCATGGTGTGCTGTTATGTTAGATTTTTAATGTGTTAGTTCTGTTTGTTTGTTTTCTTCGTCACAGTGGCGGTTGATAAGAATGGGCATGTTTACACGTAAGCTGCGTTGTGTGGCAAAGCTTGACTATGTTCAATCAGTAATTACTTGTTAATAAACATACTTGGATTGTTATCGAATTTGAATATCTGATGTGTTGTTTGTTTCTTTTGTTTATGCTGTGACAATTGATTAGGTGGGGCTTTGGCGGTTATGGGAGGTATTTGCCTGCTGTATATATTTGCTATCTTTCTGTTATCTGTTAGTATTATGAATATGATTGTTTTGATGCTTTTGTATCAGGCTCGGACACAGAGAACAGAAAGATGAATGGGTTCCACGGTTGGTTGATGTTTTCACTAGGCATAATGTTCTGCCCCCTGATGCAGTTGTTTCAGCTGGTTCTGCCAATTCATCATGTACAGCTGGTAGGTTTAGAATTGTGGCAGCTTTTTGTCTTTGTACTGTTTTCTGTTTGTTTATGTTTATTCTTATTTGTTCTTTTTCTCGGGGTGAATATTTCTGGCCTTAGTCAAGGTACAATTATGTTATGCTCTTCCTAATTTCAATGACTAAGGCACAATTATGTTATGCTCTTCCTAATCTCAAGGTGAGAGGGTTGTATCCTTTTCTGTCTTGGGGAACTAATGTAAGTAGGTGTGCATGAATATTCAATACTCATTTTAGTTGCTGGCTAATTGATGTGTATAGTGTGTATATCATTGTGACTATTTTACTGTTTGACTAGGTAGCTGTTGAGTTTCACAAAGCTAACCCTCATGAATGGTGATGCTAATTGCATTTTCTGCCCTGAGCTAGGACTGAGTAGGATCTAACACATATTTTTTCTGAATTTGGTGGATTTTGATGGGTTTGATTGACGTGTGTGAGACTTGAGCCCACTTGAGCATGGTTAATTTCAGATTAGCTAGCATTCGTGAAATCTTCTCTCAGTGACATATTAAAAAGCTATGCGAACCCCAAACTAGTTTTAGATACTGTGATCCAATTGTCATACTCATATTTTGTGATTGATATTTTTTGTGAGGACCTTAGAAGGCTTTGAATAGTGTTTCATCATTGTTAGATACGACAATGTGTGATCAATGTTAGTCCTGGTCAATAATGGTTTGGAGAAAAGCAATTTTTTTGGACCTTGATGTTGAGTTGAATCCTCTGGTGGATATTTCTTCATTAATAAAGTTCTGTTAGGCTCATGAATTGATTGTTCCATAATCCATATGTTGGGGATCTTAGGAATGATGCTTTTGTTGAATCTACTGCTTCTGCAGGAGGTGGGCAGCTTTATATGTGGGGCAAGATAAAGAACAGTGGTGACGATTGGATGTACCCTAAGCCTCTCATGGATTTGAGGTTTTACTTCCTAAATCATTAATACTGTTGGCTGATAGGCTTAAAGTACTAGTGTCACTTTCGAATTTTGATCAAGTAAAAGAATACTGCTGTTTTAATTTTGATATGCTAATTGAGACTTATGCTATGCAAGAAGAGTTATCAAACACCTTTCTTTACTTTACAGTCACGCAAAAATTGTCAACCCCAATGTAAGTTCTTTCTAGGTCCTGTTTTAGCTTTTCCGACAAGATCTGAACCCAGGAAATTAAGTAAAATTTGAAAACTAATTTTCGATAAGCGAGCCTAGAGTGCCATCTTAGCTTTGGGACTCTTCTTTTGAGAAAAACTCTATGATAAGAGTCAGTATGTCTTAATTTTATGAACTTTGCATATTAAGAAATATTTCTATGTTGTACATTTAGAATTTATTGTTTGACAAGCTCAGTTGTTCTATGTAGTGGCTGGCATCTGCGCTGCATGGATTCAGGCAATTCGCACCATTTTGTCGGTGCTGACTCTTCATGTATTAGCTGGGGCCATGCACAATCTGGGGAACTGGGATATGGACCTAATGGACAAAAGTATTATTGGTTTTAATATGTTTTAACTTTTGCATTCCACATTCACATGCATGCACATTGGCATTCAACAAAGAGACAAGTGTCTAGAATTATGTGAACAATATGTGTTTCTGAGACTTTATTTTGTTCCCTTATTTCAGATCATCTGCAATTCCTAAGAAAGTGGATGCCCTCGAGGGAATGCATGTTATCAGGTTGGTGATGTTCTTCTGATTATGTATTTTTTTTTTATTATTATTTCTTGCTAGAAACTCATCATGACTCCATTTCACTTTAGTGTGGCTTGTGGACTTGCTCTTTCCTTGGTGGTTGTTGATAGAACAAAGAATGCTGAGCGACTTGAAGAGGTACAATATTCACTGCCATTATAAAATGAACGGAAGAAAAGAAAAAAAAGAAAAGAAAAGAGGAACAAAATAAAATAGGAGTTAAAGATTGTAAATTCTCTGCTTCTATTATTTTCCATTTTTCCATTTTCGAAGCGCCTTGGTCATTTATGTTTGTTAGCGGGCTTGAACTTGAAAAGGGTGTAACCTGATAATTTCGTATGTTTTTTTACAGCTTGAGGTTTATGATGGCACGGCTGCTGCTGAAGGTACAGTTAAATAAATAGTCATTTCAAAATTCACTCATAAACTACCGGAGGTTTAAACTTTAACCTTAATCTGAATGAGTACTGACGAACAAGTAACAGTCACAAACAAGCATATGAATGTTCAAAAGAGAAAGAACCCTCATGGTTGATAATAATATCACTAATGGTTCTATGTTTTCACATGCTGCAGTGATGACCGTAACACCCGATGAAAAACCTATCCTTACTCCAAAAAGGGCTGCCGCCAAAAAGTCTCGAGACGCCAACAAGAGGAAGAAAGGAGGAGAAAGTAGTTCTGATGATGAGGCGAACAGTGAGTACGAAAGTGATGATAGCAACGAGATGCTTAATGGTAAGGCCAGGAAAGCGAGGGGCAAAAGCGCGGGCAAATCAGGTTCGGAGAAAAAGGGCAGCGGCCGTGGGAGGGGACGGCCACCATCCGGGACGAAAAGCACACAAGCTTCCGGAGGAAAAGGAACCGGCAAGAGAGGAAGGCCTAGGAAGTCGTGAATTTGGTTTGCATATCTATCTATTTTTTCTCGCTTTTTCTTTTTTC